GTCTTTCTTTCATCTTGGCTGAGGACAGGAGCATCCCAGTGGCCTTCTGCTGTGGCGTCCCTGAGTCGCCCACTAGGCCATACATGCATTGATCCAACCTCACCACTTCTAGCGGCTCTCCAGTGACTTGGTTCCTCAACTGCTTGTCCATCAGGTCGGTGAAGCACTTCAATTCCCAAAGCAAGGAGGGCCATGGGTTTTCAAGCAAGACTTCTCTTCCCAACTCCAATCTTCGCTCCACTAATCGACCCAGCCAAGCCACCACGGGATACCACTTCTTGCGGTTTTCCATGATCTTGGCGTACAGCTCATCACTCTTGGTCACATTCAAACGCTGCCATGGTGACCAGGGTGCACAAAGCGGTGACATGCTCAAGAGGTATGGATCTTCATCTTCTATCTCTTGCCAGAGTCGATCTCTGTTGCAAGACTGCAGCAAGTCATAGCGCTCATCAATCTCGACATCAACTGGGGCGCTGATGCACAAGCCCATAGTGGCAGCCATCAAACTCAATGTTGCCGCTCCTGCAAACAGTTCTTTCATGAAGGTCTTGCAACCTCGTGGCAGCATCTTGCGAGGTCGTCGAGTGCCTCCTTGTAGCGTGCTCCAGAGTGCGCAGTCCTCCTTCTCCATCTCGTCAAGCGAGTCTTCCAGCATCCTCCTCTGACCTTTGCTCAAGGTCTTGGCACGATGTTCATGTAGTGGTAGATGTCGTTCTTCTGAAGATGTGCCATTGGAATCCGTCTCATTGTCGGTTGTCTCAGCCGTCACATTGTCATCTTCTGCCTCTGTGACGTTGTCGTCACTGATTTCCTCATTCACGCCATAGTTCTCGTCCACGATCTCCTCGGGCTCGATCTCATAGTCGGCCAGATTCATTGCAATGCCTCGGACAGTCTCATCTCCTGGGTGCAGCTTGATTGCGGGAAGACCATTCAGGTTGATGATCTCCAGCTCTTTGTCCAAGGTCTTACTGTAGGCCGTGTACTCCGACATGTCCAGCACAAAGCCTAGGGCCTTTTGCGCTGCTGAGCTCAAAAGCAGAGGAGTGTCGGAGTTCTTGAGCTCAATCGAGGTGATGTTGCCTGGAACAAACTCTTCATCCAAGGTCTTCATACACACTGGAATAGTGCGTTTGCCGGCCACCTCAACTTTTCCACCGACACCACGGAATCGGCCTTCCGCTGATTGGAGCTCTGGCTGCATGCCCATGTAGTTCACAAATTTCTCCATCCAGCGAGATCCGTGGCATGTGTTGTTGCAGCCGGTGTCGAGGATGACATAGATCTCTTCAGAGCTGCGGTCATCGTCCTGGACCATGTAGGCTTCACTTTCCTCACGCTCTTGTCGAGCAATGCAGTATTTGGCGAACTGGACCAGGCAACGATCCTTGATGTTGTCATTCTTGTACTTGGCAGTTATGGTCTTGACATAGCTCTTCTCGTAGCTATAGATCTCTTTGAACGAGTGTCCCTTATGCACACCTAAAGTGAAGTAGGTGCCCTGCAGCTTCTCAATGTTGACCGGCTCTGAACTCCTGGTCGGTGGTGAGAATGTCGAAGAGCTGCCGGATGCCTTCCCAAGTGCTGTGTTCTTGCACTTCTCGTAGATCTTGTCCATGGTCTCAACAGTCAGGTCGCCTCCGATCTCCTTCTGAAGTCCGACGGCCATTGAGAACAGCTCCAGGACCTTGTCAACCTGTCCAGTTGTCGGAGCTCCAGACACTGCTGCTGCCGACTTGGCTTCCCACAGCTTGCCATCCGATCTGCTGCCCTTCTCGATGTGCCCGCAGGATTTGCACTTCCATTGCCATGTAGTGCCGGTGCTTCCACGCCAATCCTTCTCCTCATGCTCACACTTGATGCCCGTCTTCTTGTCAGAATCGACCTCCATCTTCTGGGGCTTGTCCAACTTGGTGTACTCTATGTACTTGTTGCAATCCTTGCACTTCAGGACACGGAGATAGGCATTGGATCCTTGGCGGGTTGTGTGCATGTGTGCACAGGGCCTCAGCAGATCATCATTCCCTTGTGAAGATGCCGTAGGGCTCGAAGGGGTTGTAGTGAGCTGAACTGGTAATCGGGGAAGTCCACGTTCAGCCTTCCACCGCCATTTCTGCAGAAGTTCACGATCCTCCTGGGTGTAGAGCGGATGTCCAGGATAGAATTCATACCATCGCTCATTATAGGCATCACGCCATTCAGCATCCTTGGGGTCATTAATCATGGCCATGAAGGTGTCCAGATGTGCCTTCCTTGCATCAGACTGCAAGACACTGAAATCCTCGGCCAGAGCATGGCTTGCCGAAGATGATCCTGGGGTTGCAGGACTTGGAACTGGTCCCTGCGAAGCTGGTGGTCCGATGGCATGCCTGACAGTCGGAGTGGCCTGTCGGATCTGTGCCTCCATGATGAGTCGGTCCAGCTTCTCATCTGCTGTCTCCTCACGATCTTGTAGTGCTTGTTGTTCAGCCTTGGTCACCATGTTGGCCTCGAAGTCCTTGTGTTCCTCCTCCGTGATGGTCTGCTGATACTCGTTCACAGTGAAAAACACGGTGCGGGGCTTGTCAGACTTGCCTCCCTTGCCACCTTTGCTCGACTTGGGTGAGCTGGTAGTCGTGGATGTCGTCGAGGAAGGAGATCCACCCTTGCTCTTGCCCTTGGCGGACTTGTAGGACTTTGGGCATTGAGGGTCATTCGCCCAGTGGCCAGATTGTCCACACTTCCGGCAAGTCGTACGAGACTTCATGGCTTGGACTCGAGCTCGACGTTCTTCCATCGTGAGGTGTCCATGTACTTGAAATTGACGTCCACCTCCAGAGAATCCTTTGTGTCCTCCATGACCTGCCTTCTCACGGACATAGAAGGCTTCTGCCTCTGCTTGCATGATCTCTGCTGCATACTCCATGGCCTCTGTGTTATACTCGTCAAGGCCGTCTTCGATCATGCTCATGTAGACCTGATGGAGGTAGTCTTCTTCATCCATGACATAAGCTTGATGCTCTTCTCCATAGGTCTCAACTTCATCAAATCCACTCAACGACTGGGAGTTGTTGTCCCAGTCCTCACAGTCGTAGTACTCCTCGTTGGGCGTGGCATGATATGCACGGTGCCAAGAAGACCGTCCTCGATCCTTGCCATAGCCCTTGCTGGAGTATCCTTTGTGGTTGAAGCGGCTGAAGTGCCCCTTGCTGCGGCGAGCCTCGACCTCATGGATGCGGCTGTGCTGTGCGACCAGTTCTTCACAGATCTTGTTCATGGTGATGTCACCATGCACGGCCGCACGGATCAGCAGCTGGTGGTCGTGACTGATGCCGGCATTCTGCAAGGTCTGCTCGGCGAGAATGGCCTCAGGGAGTTGGAGAGAGGAATCCATGTCCAGCATCATGTTGTACCATGCCTTCCGTCGTAGGACGAATGACGGAATGCTTTCTCCAACCTGTCGGGCCAAAACTCCGCCCTGCTGCGCACCGATCTAGTACAGGTCTCTGGCCTCCTGCTTGGATCTCGGCTGAAGTGCGCTCTGCAAGGCTTTGAGCAACGTGTTTGTGCCGTCTTCGGAAACGAGCTTGTCCACAGGGATGGCACGTGCAACTTGCAATGCAGGGCCCCTGAGGCCATCAATGAGCCTCAAAGCAAGTGGCCCTTGCTTCTTCAACTCTTGCTCGTCCATCACCTTCTCCCTGGCTTGTCGCAGCCTGACCCTAAACTGGTACTCAGCCAGTCGGCTCACTTCTCCATCATAGCGCGGCACACCGCTCTTGGCTTCTGTGGCAGACATCTTCCTGGGCCGTAGTGAATGTCTACCATTTGAGGCAGTCCACAATCGACATGGCTCGAAATCGAAAGTAACGGTAAAAAGAGTCACCTAGGAAAATCGAGGGTATACCGAAATGGCCTGGGCTCACAAACCAAAAGGGTTCCCCGGAGACTAAGCTCCGCTACCAATATGAATTGGGCAGCCAAAACACAAAAGCAAACAGCGTCGTAACGCACTGTTTTACCGTGCGATGCAATGCATGGCTTGAGCCATAATGCGAAGTCACAAGTTCGGACCTGCATACGATCGAATGTCCGATCTGGTTTCATCTTCCGTTTCACAGAACGTCTGCACGGATCATAACCCGCCAAAGGAGAAAATCGGCCCTTGCTTGAGCCTAAAAACAAAAGGTCAACCAAGTTTGCATGTTCCCTGCAAGTTGGTTCTTAAAATCCCCTATCATAATCCAAAGTAAACGATATTTTACCCATAGCAGGAGAAGAGGCCCGCAAAAAGGGCCTCAAAGTGAAAGCGCTACCCGCACGATCCGGGACTGCCGTTTTCCGTTTCGCGGCGTTTCGAATCTGCATCCAAAGCATAACAATCGAAAGACGCTTGGTAAAGCTAATTCCAAGAGTGTTAATGAAACCAAATGGTTGCAAAGGCTTTCCATATATCGTGTTAATAATATTAAATAAAAAAGATTTTTTTGTTCCAATCTACTTTGCAAAATTTTCATTTCGTCCAAAAGCTTTTAATAATATTTCTTAGTGTTGTCAATCTATTATTACAATTGTTGCTTCTTCTATAAAATATTTCGTAAGATAATATTATTTAAGCTTAATTACCATATCTTTCTCAATTTCAAATTGTGATTTTATAATCCCTTTCCACTAATCCCTTAATTAAAATTAAAAAATTAATCAAATTCTCTTTAAACATATCAATAAGATTTTATTCGTTAACCTTTAAAATCGAATCCCATTTAAACCTCTTTTTTAAACCAATTTAAACCTAAAATATATACAAATATCTATATATATATATACAAATAATAATTAATATTCAATCCAAGACATAAAACAAAATCCATAATTATTTTATAAAATATATTCATAACATTAACTAAAAGATTACATTAAAAACAAAAATATACATATTTAAATATACAAATATTTCATAATATATATCAAAAATATATATATAAAAAACAATTAGTATAAATTAAATTGTTGTATATTTTTGTTTATATATATATATATATTCTATTTGTATATATTTTGATAATTGCATTATTCATTTGATTTCTGTTCATCCTTCTTCTTCCTCCGTAGAAAAATTATCAATTTTATTTTGAATTGTGAACATGTTTCATGAATGATTTTCAACATCTTGGCAGTCCTCTTTTCGGCTTCTTCACGTTTCTTCTTGTTCTGGCAGGAAAGGTTCGATGCAGCACAAAAGGACAATGCCAAGAGGTTCCAGCCTTTTGTTCCTTCTCAAGTTCATGTTGGATAATATCCTGCGAAGCTGCTCCGACGTCTGTACACATCTAGTTGCACGGAGATTCCAACATGCAGACATAAATAACTCGATTCTACTTCCTGCGCAGGATGGTGCAACATGCAAAGTAGGCCGATTAGCATGGAGAAAATCACCACGTGAGTCAAGTTGAACCTGAATGCATGCCAACTTCAATGAATCAGCACAACAAATATTGTCTCATGTTTGTTGGAAACTGAGTCTGCTGCTCGTACTTCTTGTCAGGGAAGGGGAAGAGCCTGCATTTCAGCAACACTGGTGCAAATGAGCTTGTTTCATCGGCCGTTCCCATCAAACACTTTGTGATACAGAACTTCGCCCAACGATCAAACATAGATATCCCCGAAGCCCTCGGCCCGATTCGGCCGCCGTTCGCCTTACCACAACATTGGCGATCTGGCTGAGCTTTTTGGTCTCTCGTTGAACTACACCCTTGTAGAGCTCCCCAAGCCTTGCTTCCAAACAGGTCACCGTGTTTTCTCTGAGGAGCCTTCTGCGTCTGGGGTCCAAGCAAGAAAAGCCCAAAACCACTCACAAACATCAGGAACGTGGTGAACACTACGCAGTCCATGAGCCGGGCAAAATTCGCCTGGCAAATTCCGCAGGAAGCGAACTCTGCGGTGCAACACAAAAGCTTCCCGGACCATCTGACGGGCCATGGCGCCGACTGTTCCAGGCAGCCCAGCCAAGCAGCCAAGCGGCCAAGCGAAGTTTATCCAAGAAGAATCTGTGACGAATGGACGACTGGACTCGTTGCTTTTCTGCCAACTTACTGAATGATCTTTAATCCCATGAGAACAAGAGGCCCAATTCATGCTTGAGCAGAAGCAAACAAGAGGATATAGGACATGGATGGACATGGTGTAGCAGCATGGCATTGATGATCGCGTTGGGCAAAAGTGCGCATGTTCCCACTCCCATCTGCTGGAGGAAGTTGATGAGACTTTTCCAGTCAAGTCGAAACAAAGCTGGGCTTTGCAGCGAGCTAACTAGCGACTTTCTCACAAATTCCCCTCCTGCTCAACCTCTTTAAATATTTGCAAATTGTTTGGCCGATGTGAGAAAATCGAAATCACCGGTTGATCCAGCATTAATCACGATCCAAGTGTGCACGTTGGCACATGCAGCCATTGGCATTGTCCTTCTACCGCCGTTTCAAGTCCTACCCTATCATGGGCAAAGCTCACATCGCCTTCGGAAAGCATTCAACTCCTGGTGACGATCGGTGCTTGGCAGCCCCTCCGCAGCTTTGCAATGGCATTTCTTGTTATGCCATGCTCCGTTTGAATTCGACTGGCACTTCCCTTCATCCTCAGCTGAAGATACTGGACCTCGGAGTCGGAACAGGAACCCGTCCGGCGGATTCAGTAGTGTGTTGATCATTCTCCGTATATCATGCTTTTGTATACCGTTTCTGAGGCTGCCACTGCAAGGATGCCAATTTAGTGTCCTTGAAATAGACTTGACAAGGGCATGTCAGAAGCAAAGCATCATTGGAAAAGAACACTGAAGGGGCTATGATGCAGGGGATGTGAAGGAAACTCAGCGAACACCGTTTACGATCGGTTAAGCTCCCTTGGCAACGAACGCTTCAAGGCGTGTTTCGACTTGAGCTATCTGTCCTTTGCCCGACGCAACAAATCCTCCCTCTGCGCAGCGCTCACCCCTTGGCTAGTGCAAGTCGACAAGTTGGATTTCACCCACAGAGTGGACGGTTGCTTTCTAAAATTCTAGACCAAGTTCGTACAAGATTCTAGACGAAATCCTGCTTGTTTTCTCTATAAGTTCTTCACACTCGGGTGTTCGATCATTTGGCCCCATGTGCAAGCACGGGGCCAAAACAATCTAAAGGCAAAACACCAAGCAGAAGAAATTGCATGCTGTTGTTTAAAACAAACCCCCGACTAACACCAAATGAGTGAAAAGCATGACCCGAATTCCATCGCGTGCCTGAGTGCTTACAAGGTGAGTGAGGGTTGGAGAGACGGAGCCTCAGGTTCTGAGCCAAGCTGTTAGGGCCCAAATGTGAAGCTCTTGTTGGTTAGTCAAAGGAAAACGGAAAGGTCCAAGAAATAGACGAAAGCATGAATGAAAGACGTTCTACACATCTTTTGCCCCCCCAAAAACAACCATTGAAAACAACATGTCAGAAAAAGAACCTACCACTACAGTAGTTGTAGCCAAGACCCGAACCCTTCTAGTAGCATGGGGTAGCAAAGAAAAGCATCCTTTTGTTGGCAATAGCAAGATCTGAAGTGGAGTAGGCGGTAGTCCTGAAGTCCACAACCTAAAGTCTTGGTTCTCAGCTCCCACTCTGAGAACCCAACCCATTTCGAGCAGATTTGGGCACCTCACAGCCCCATGTGAATCTTGGTAATCTTGGTACGTCCACAACAACGAATGAAAGGCGAACGACATCACTAGCACAAATTCCGGCCTCCCGTGCGGAATCTTGACCCATGTTACCCTTCACCTGAAACAATGGAGCTGGTGTTCACCTTATATTCGCATTTTCAAACAAACTTACAGTAAACATCAAACAGCGTGTTCACACGCATTTGGCCAGCAAAGCCTGCGCCGAGTCGAGGCATTCTTGCTTCCGTGAGAGGTGGTGCACGTCGCCCTCAAAGTCCTGATAAGTCGGATGTGGTCCCCGGCGATTCTTGGCCCTTGTGCAATCCGAATCTTTGCTCAGAACTCGTACAAATAGCTGCTAGTAGCTTCTTGTTACTAGTAGCGATGGCCTCCAACCTACTTGCGATGGCCTCCACCTAATAGCGTCCTTCCATACAGTCAAATCTTACAAATCTTGCAACATCTGCTCAGAACTCGTCAGCTCTTCCGTATGACGTCAGGCCTTGCGGAAGTCCTTCTCGCGTCGACGGCCTGGCAAATCCGAGAGGCCACTTCACGATGAATCTCGAGCAAACGACTTTTCCAAATGTGCCGGGAAAACGTGAGACCTCTGCAGAGATCCCGAAACCATCTTTGCTGTCCCAGAAGCCTCGCTCTACATCAAGAGCCTCAAAGTCTGCAAGAAACTCCACTCTTCATTGCACCATTTCATCAAAATTGTATCCAACATTATACAGCTAGTCACGAAAACAAAACAAGCAAGCATGGCAGCCCAAGGAGTCATGTTGTTGTGACAAGAACTTGTGTCTTGCGCACTTCGCTCCGGTTTTCCTTTCAAGCCAAACAAAGACAGGCAAATCCCTTGCCTGCTGGAGCTCGGGGGCTTTGGTGGGTTTGGGCATTTGGCCCATGGTCGATGACATCTCAGCCTGTCAGATGCTTTTACTTGTTGAACTTTCACACATTGTCCCATCTACATTGAAACATAAAGCCACCTTAACAGTGGAAAAACAAACACTGGCAAGCCCGGCAAGAGCCCTTTTGCGTGATTGTGAACAACAGTGAATCTCATCTCCAGCAGTTGTCCAACTTTGTCTGCTGACTACCCAAATCTACCCAGTCAAGAATATCCAATGGACTATGACATGTTCAAAAGGATGGACAATGATGTGGGCCAAGGCAAGCAAAAACTCCTTGAACCGTTGTTCCATTATCTTGATTCTTTAGTCTTTGGTAAAATGTACAGTGTACAGTAAATAGACACACCACTCACTGACTCGGTTGCCTGCCTCCTTTCTATTTCGAGGAGAATCCGCCTGGGCGATCCTGTTCAAACGCATGTAACGTATCACATCTCATTTTGCCGTTTGTGGAAAAGCCGTGCATGTGAAACGTCGTAATCACACCACCGATGCCTAACATGCCGAGATCAGATTGTCAAGGGAACTCCTCAGCTTCCAATCCCGGCCTTCCTGGATCCTTGCGAGCAGATTCGATCTCGTTGCGGAAGTCGAGGAATGAGCAGTTCGTGGTGCCCAACAAATCCTAGCAGGATGACACTGCTCTTACCACCAGCTTGCCGAAACTCATTTCTGAAGATTCTTGACTTGGACATCTTCAATGTCATTCTCAAGGCACAAGAAAAATATTGCGAAGGGTGGTAGAACAGCATGAAACAGCAGAACACCCCTCCTGTCGCTCGGTGATCGGCTGTGTCCGTCGACCCAACTCGGTGCCAAACAGCTCTGAAAAGTTCCGCATGTCAGCGCCACTGGTCCTTTTGGCAAACAACCGAAAAAAAGAGGAAGGTTTAACTTGGAGCATTCAAGGTGAGAACCTTAAAAAAGCGATGGTAGTGTTTGATAGTGGAGATGGTGGTAGTAGAATTTGGTTGCAGAAAGTAGTAAAGAAAACAGTAGCAGCAGTAGCACTGATAGTAGTAGTAGTAGTAGTAGTAGTAGTAGTAGTAGTCGTAGTCGTAGTCGTAATCGTAGTGGTAGTGGTAGTGGTAGTGGTAGGAGTAGGAGTAGGAGTAGCAGTAGCAGTAGCAGCAGCAGGAGCAGTAGCAGTAGCAGTCGCAGTAGCAGCACCAGCAGTCCATGTCGCAGTAAGAGTAGCAAAAGGAGCAGCAGCTCAGAAGCAGTCGAATTGAGGCCAAGCCCTCCGGCCCTTCAGACCGGCAGATTAGTGGAAACCTCAAATGTCCAGACCACCGTGCCTGAGGGAGTCTGACTGCGGTGGCGGCGCCTGGAACAAACAACAAAACAGCCGCATGAAGAAATGCAAAAAAAAAATTGCCGGCGAGCAAACAAAGTGCAAGTCAAGCTGTTGTTTTGTCAATCAAAGTGCAGATTTTACTTCGACCATATCCCCGTCAAACAGATATGTGATCCCACCTGAACATCAATGTCGGGCTGCGGCAGCGTATTCTTTCCCGAAGACGCTAAGTTTGCTTGCACCCTGCAAGCGGGGCTCGAGATTGATGATGTCTATGAATCTGACCATTGGACTTCCCTCGCTTCCCGCACAATCCAAAGCTAGCTCCATATAGTTGGCTCGTATTGGGCTCACACTTATCCTGCCGGCCTACTGAGAAAACGGGAACTATCATGGAAATACCTGCCTCTTGCTTGCGAAAGCCCGCTCGTTCTCCGGCCTAGTTTGCTCAAACACCTTTAATAAATGGATGACTGGGACAGCTCATTGGGAAATTCCCAAGTGTGCGTTGTGAATATGAATACCTCTCCATTAATATGTGACTTACATGTGATCGTACGTGATAGCATGTGACTAACATGAGACTATCTGATGCTATCCGACTATTCATTGGACTTTAAACTTTAAACCCTTGGGCCGCCACGTTCGGGTGGAGCTGTGCCGCTCATGGAGTGCGGAGTCGAGAGTGAGGTAGTCGGTCTGGCGCATCGTCTAAACCGCGAGTGAACATGCAGGCGACCGCAACAAACTATGGATTCGATCGTCTACCCGGGGATGGTCACCCACAAGGTCGGTTTGGGCGGTTTGGGTCTTTCACATTGTTTCACCCACCCATCTGCTGATGTGGTTCTTGCCGTGGACATTATGCTCAGGGCTCTAGCTTCGAGGTCCGGCTCCATTCATTGCCATTGGTTTGTTTTTAGCTTGCAAAAAGTCCATCGGTTGTGCCGGCGTGAAGATTCACAAAAGGTCTTAGAGTCTTGTACAAAACAAAAAACATGGGGATCAGAACAGTTGCAGGTGAGATCAAAGATTAAAATGAGATTGCCAAACGGGTCGTGTGAAAAGCATAACTCCTGCCCGTTGAAAAGACCAGCTACAAATTAGCCTTTCAAAGACATCGCCTGACCAATCAGATCCGATCTGGGAGCTGAGGCCGTCATCAGTCGATCCTGGCGACCAGAGCCATGGAAGACAAAGAATCTAAGAAGCCACTCCCAAGCTTGGCTGCGCCTTTTCGAACAACTCGGAGGACATCTCCCGAAGATATTTTTCCTCTCATTTGAGCTTTAAGGTCTGAATGACAAAATCTTCAGGAAGCGTTCACAAAAGACATCTTGTAGTCAAAATCAGGCCTTGGCACCCAAACTACCTCGCTCTGCTTGATGATTCTTGTGACGGCAGCGCTCATTTCGCACCTTGGACATCGTGTGTGGGCGTGCGTGGGCACGGGTAGGGCGAAGACGAGACAACAGAGCGTTCAAGCTAGAGGTCCTGACAAAATGAACCAGGAGGTGGAAACTGAACACTTGGTGTTGTTGCGTGGGCCAAGACAGTTCCATCATGGTGCAACACAAGGAACATGGAAAAGTACCAACACATTGATTAAACCGGTAATGCAAACACTTGGAACCTGCGGCTGAAACATCCACGGTATTGAACTGTGCAGTCTTTAAGCGACGTGTGTCACACGTCAAAAGCACTTTGGCCCCATTTGGGCTTAGTTGCAGAGTGCACCAGCAGCTAGATTTAGAGTGCAACAACTGGCAACAACAGCCAATCTTGGAGCAACCAACCCACTCCAACTGTGTGGACTATCTCTTTCTCATCTTGCAAAGGCTTCTTTGTTCTATGTCAAACAAATTGGCTTGATTCACAACCCGAATCGCCGGTGAGGGATGAACACAATTGGCGACTGTTTCCACATTTTTTTGGGGGGGAGTGTGTTGAAAGCAGAAGAAGAAGAAGAAAATCCAGCATCCAAAGTCTTACTTTCACACGATCCTTCCTAATTAGTGAAGGTTGTTCCCATTCCTAGTAAAGACTCAATCAAGTGGTGCTCGTTCTTCTGGGCCACATAAGGCAGACCATGGCCTCACCCTCCTCACCTTGCGACTCGAATATCCGGAATATCCGTTTCGGACTCCCAGCATCATGCCACTGCAGGTCCACAGAGGTCGACCAAAACTCCTTCAGCTCGGTCGACCACAGGCTGAAATCGAAAGAATGTGATCGAAAGAATATGGCAACACCATGCAACACCAAGTGCTCACAAGGTCTCACAAGATCCGTTTGTTGCAGCTTCGATTTCTTATGAGGCCATCGTAGCTCCACATCAAAGCAACATGGAACACACGGCTCAAAATATTTAATTGCGGCAAGCCCTTTCCTTTGGCATAAACTCCGGATCCCTCTTCACTGCTGTTGGTCCATTGGTTGTACTGGCGTCGCATCGCACTTCCGGCATGGAAGCTTGCATGTACTTTTAGAGTTTGTGCTTTGTCTTATCACTTCAAATGTGCAAAGCACCATCCATTTTCTGAATAGAACCGTGCCTCCCAGGCAGCACTGCCTGATTGCCGGCCATCAGCTTTTTCTTCTGTTCCGCGGCACTGGCCAGGGAGCTGATTATCAACAGAAAACAACGACCAATCACCCCTGACAGCTAGGTGATACCAGGTGAAATGTGCAGACCTTGACTCTGTGCGCAAGTCTAGATGGGCGCCTGGGCAAGTTTAATGTTTCTGGAATCGGTGCTTCCTTCACATAGTTGAAGGTTTCCTTGAGGCTCTTCAACAACTCCTAGAGGACACAATGCCATGTCAATCCCATCGGACAAACAAACACACCGACTGAAAAGGACTGCACGTCAAAGACACCTTCTGCACCTTCGCTGAATACACCGACTTGTCCAAGCCCTCACCAAAGATGTTGGAGGTCATGTGGACCATTCTCCTCTCCCTGCCATGTTGGCGGAGTCACGCACTCTTGTTCCTAGTAACTTAGTAGTAATGCCCTTGTTACTAGTAGCGATGCCCTCGTTACTAGTAGCGTCCTCTTGCTCCCAGTAGTAAGGCACCTTGCTACTAGTAACTAGTAGCCTCTTGTCTTTCCAGGTCTACAGGCGCCTTGCACTGAGCTCTCTGTCTCCGACTCCACTCACCACAGCCATGGCGAACAAATAGGACTAACCAAGCGTCGGATGCTCGAACCCACGCATGATGGACACCCTGTACAAAAGAGGGCATGCTTGGACAACAAAAATGCGATAGTTTATCAGGATCAAGCTGAGTAGTTCAAAGTCTTGTGCAGAAGAGCTCTATATAGTCCTGATTGAACCACACATGCACAGTCCAGTCTATGTTTCAACTTCCCGAAGCGTTTCCCCTGACCAAGCAACTCACAAAAACGCTCTCGGAGACTTTTTCCAGTCGCTATGTCCCATAAGTCACCATGGCTAAGCCGTTAGCCGTCCAGTCGCGATTTTTGCGACAACCCAAGTCCGTGGAACTCATCCCACAATCTGTGGCTGCTGACATGTCGCGAAAGTTACGATGTGTGCACTACTGCTTGGTTGGTAGGATTGGTAGGATTGCTTTATAGATCTTCATATGAAACAAGCTCAGTCTACATATTCGCAGTTGCTTAAAGCATCTTGATGTTTTCTCCAAAGAATTGACGATAAGCTCTGGCGGGAGTGGCTCAAAAGCTCCGCAGTGTCAGCCTCGCAGGCTCTGCTCTGCTCTGCATGAATGCGTAAAAGGCTCCAAGATCCCAACCGGCCGGTTTTCGACTTCGGGATCTCCGGCTCCATGACTCGGATCTCAGAGGTGACAACTCAAATCTGCAAATCTGCACGACAAATCTCCCAAACACGGCGTCTGCTAATCGTGGAAAAATCAAGTATCGTATCATGTATCCCATGGATTTCAAGAATGTTCAAGCCACGAAATGGCACGAAGGACTTCATGCCGCGACCAAGCCTGCGAACTCACCTCTTCCGACCTCGGCTTCGGCTGCCGCTCTTCCTGCGGCGCCGTGACCGGCTGCTGCTGGACCGCTTCCTGCGGCGAAACGCTGTTCGATGCCAGGAGCTCCCAAGGCAGCCAAACACGAGAACTCACATGGCAGCCGCTGGCGAAAATCCCCGTCCAGCACCAAGGAAACGATTCTAAGGTGTTTTTTTTCGAGATCCAAGATCCAATCAAAAGGAGCGTCATGGCAAGGCCCTGACAACACTTCATTGTCCAAATTCCCTTGGAGACGGCTTGGAACATGCCAGTGTAGATAAGATATATAAGCATGAATGACTTGAATAAATCATACTCACTTCATGTTGCAAAAAGCCCTGCAAACAAGAGCCTAGTGACCCTGCCTTGCCTCCTGCGGCCCCGGCTACGGTCGCGGCTGCGACTTCGTTCTTTTCCTGGAAAAGAATCACAAGGGAAACACAAAACATGGTGTTCGGTGTTCTTGTGTTGGCATTCAGTTTGCTTGGCATTCGCTCCTCTAAACTTCACACGATATCCAAGGTCGGAAAGTTGACAAAACATGACAAAACGACGCAAACAGTCCATGGAATTCAAAGCTCGTGCCTCGCTCTCGCTGCTGTGCTCTCGCGCGTTCACGCTCAAGAAACAGATCACGGCCTTGTTTGCACCCATGGATGCATGAAACCAGCCTATGGGCTGTCTATGCTTGCTGTGCACTCCATGCTTGGCCAGCATCTGGGTTCCAGGCTAGTGACCTCTAAATTTCTTTCTGTGGCTGTGGGCGGGGCTCCTCTACCCCTGCCCTTGCCTTGCATGTACTGCGCCTGACTGTAGAAAAAAATCAGGTCTTCCAAGATTGAGCTTCTACAACTCTCTGTGGTTTCTTCTGCTTGGCCTTCAGCAGCATGCCATCTATGACGACTTGTCCCGCATTTATGGCATCCAGTGCCCTCTGGGCAGCTTCAGGGGTGGAGAAGCGAACCTCTGGTGGCGCAACTCAAGGCGTCCATGTCCACAATCGGAAAAAGAATTGACATCTTCACTTCAGATTCACTTATATCATATATATATGTAATCTTCAGTATAAGCATATAATATTGCTGGTAGCACAGCATATCGGCATATCATTGAAAGTACAATGTATTTGAACTTTGTGTATACGTGTGTGTCATGCGTCAGAGTGTGCCAAACCTTGGACACGTCATGCCGAACTGTTCGACATGAGACCTTCGGCGGCTCCTCTTCCGGGTTTTGTCTATTGCCCATGTGTACCAGGTCCACCTGCTCGCAGGACATGTCTGACGCACGGGTCACCACTCTGCGCAAGTGATACTTCAAGCAACATAAGTTCAACATGAGTGTCTTGAACATTCTTGAACCATGATCGAGGACTTGTGCAGGTGTTTGGAAGTGGAGGCCAGGTCAGCATGACGCGGACTGCTTGAATAGCAAGTTTGAATCGACTGCTTGCTTTAAACTTGCACGCCTGGCCAAACTGTTCCATGTGGCCCTTCAGCGCCTGAGGGGTGGCACATAAGCTTGTGGTGTATGTGTGTGAAGCCAAACAACAGCACATGCACGCCCTTTGCAACTGAAGGTGCTAGGCGGTTGATCCCCGGCACCATGCCCTCTATGATCTGGATGCAGGTGCTCATGTTGCCTGGGAGATTCAAATCTTCAAAAGTCAATGACTCCATTCTTCCTCCCCAGCCTGCGATGTGACGCAAGGAGCCTGGGAAATCAACGTAAGCATGGACGCTAAGGAGCAATTGATTCCCTTGCGCACCTGAACCCTCAAAACGCCCATGTGAGAGGGCTGCAATAGATCCGCGAAGCCCACCGAAACGTGCTTGAGCCAAGTTTGTCAGATCACGTCCAAGTCTAGGCCTCACTCTGTGAGTTTCTCGCAGAATCATCCAAAAACGTCTTTTGGGAAACAGAAGTCACGCCTGTTCCCTTGGAAAAAGTGCCTGTGGCGAACGACCAATCTGAGGTTTCTGGTCCTTTTGTCACTCAGCATGCTGGCAGCATCGGAGCGAGAGAGGCCTCTGCCAAGTGTCACCTGCTGGGACACCGGAGCTTCCAATGAAACCACCGAAGGCCGAGCAAATTCAAAAGGAAAGGTCCTAGTAGATTCCTTTGCTAGTAATTACAAGTGCCACACTAGTAGTAACAGGTGCCTTACTAGTAGTAACAAGAAGCTATTAATTACAATTCTTATTAAATTCCTAACTTGTTACTAGTAGTAAGGCACTTGTTTCTAGTAGCTTCTTGTTACTACTAGTAAGGCACTTGTTTCTAGTAGCGATGCACTTGTTCCTAGTAGCTTTGGCCAGAGATTGTCAGACTTTCAGCAAGTCTGGCGCACAGCACGCGACCGCGTCACTGAGTGGTTGCAAGTCATTCGGCGCCGTCTTGCCGGCCTTGGAGGAAAGAAGGGGTACAGTAGTTAAGTAGAAGACCCGTGGATCTAGAGGCACGCGTTTAGAGATTCTTGGGACTGGTTGGATCACCCACCTTCCCACCTTCACTGCTACACGTCTGTTTACATCTTTTGCCCACCTCGGTTGGTCCTGGTGGATTTCCTGCATTTCGTCGTGTCCGTCGTGCCGTTTCGTCTGACCGCTCTGCTACGTCTCCGGACGGAGAGTGTTCCATGGTCGACTCGCTGGAGCAGGACATGGGCGAGTCGGGCGCCTCCGGAGCGTCCAAAAGCGAGTTGGGCATTTTTCGGGCGTGTCTGGTTCAAGTGGTTCATGTTGGTTCGGGTCTCAGTCCTCTTCTGGACTGAGCAAGCCCTGGTGGATCAAGACCTCCAAGTGAGCATGGAGAATAGGTGAGTCACAGGCATGGGTGTTACATTGACAAGTGGAAGAATGGACAGCAAACAAGCAGCTAAATCCTCAAGTCAGAAGAGAAAGCAGAATGTGATAATGTATGATAATGTTAATATATCAGATATCAGCTCAAAGCAGTTGTTCAGTCTTTGTTCTTGTAATGCGGCCTGCTCAGCAAGCTTTTCTGCTAGCAGTCGTCTACCCACCTGCAACGTGTAATATCGACTGCTGCTCGTTTCCTTCCTCTTGTCAAGGACGATCGACATACGCCAGCTTGTGAGTCTTCTTCGCCCGATCGTGGAAAAGTCGACCTGATTGAGGTGTACTCCATCTGGCGACATGGAATTGGGCATCTGCAGCTTGGGACCTGCGGAGCATTCTTCCCAAATCTGCCGTCTGTTACAAGTCTGGCGAACGACCAAATAGGTAAAATGCTCCCTAGCGGGGGGATTCTGGCTGACTATATAGCATTGTTCATCAATCAGCTCCAACTCGGCTATTCATGGACACATCTTCACTCACTTGGTGGTACAGGTAGGATCATTTGCCTCCAAGTGCGGAGAAGGCATCAAAGCTACCCACCCCAAGCTCTTCAGCCAACTGGGGAATTATCCTGGCAGCGGCTAAAACCAAGTCCAGCAACGGGTGGGCAGCACTACCAAAACCAAACTGCTCGTCTGGTGCTTGTGTATGTCACAGGTGTCACATGGGCGGACCGACAGCTCTCTTTTGTGGACCTGGCCTAGGAAGCTCTCGATTGATCACATTCTGCCTCATCAAACTGCTAGGCAAACTCAGCAAACAAGTGATTGAGGGCCGAAACTAAGCATGAAACTAAAACCTAAAGCGCAATCAAGTATCCTCAACAGCGAGGCCATGAAGTGCCCTTTATGATACAGCGGTGGAGGGACCTCGGCGCTTTTCCCCCAAAAAGGGGCACGGTGGCATTGCTCCTTTGTTCAAAAGAATGACATCTTCAAACCTGCCTTTCTGCCGTTGCAGTGTCGTTTGGGTCGTATGCAGGTGTCGTTTGGCCTCGTTTTCGTCTCTCAACCGACTTCAGCCGACTCTGAGTTCCAAGACTCCAAGAAAAATGCTGGGTGCTCGCCCCCTGGCAGCACCATTCTCTTGGATCTGCTTCACCTCCAAAACGCCCCACCCGACGGACTGAAAGCAACAGCAAAGTAATAAGAAAAGGAAGGAGAGAGAGAGAGAGAGAGACAGAGGCACCCTTTAATAAGGCTCCCTTAAGGGGGGGCAAGTGTGGCCTTACCTTGCTTCGATTCCCTCCACTGGTCTGGTGCAGAATGATGTTGTCGAATGCGGTCCCTTTTTTTGATGTCTTCCAAGGCACCAAGTTCGTCATGTTCTCGACAAAGTCACTCTCGCTCCAGAACACCTCAAGTTGTTTGATGGAAACAGGAAGTGGCTGGAAAATCGCTGAAAGCCCTTTCTCAGCCACAAGGCCTTGTGCGCATCATTGGTTCCCAAGAGCAGTGTTAGCACATCGGCTTGGATCGCCAAGGCTTGCTTGAAGACCGGCGACTTGGCATACCTCGTCATGGCTCGCGAAAACGCCGATCCCGCGCGGGAGACTTCCGCCGCGGCGGCTTCCGGTCGCTGAACGCAGCAACGTCGCGGCGCACGCTCGTGGAGTTTTGCTCGCTGTGGCGCCGCAGGCACCAAAGTCCAGAACTGGCCGAAACATGCAGACACGGAAGGACACAAGCCCAAGTGAACAAAGTCGACAAGATTCTACAATGATTACTGTATTAAATAATCACATTTCATCACCAATGTACACAGATTCCAACTATACTATATATATATATATACGGCAACACGTTCATGCAAATGCACCGACTGCGCCTTTCCACGTCGTGCTACTCTCTGCTCTTTGCAATGCTTTTTGCAGCTCCTCAACCAAAAACAATAGCACTTTAGGCAACCCTGCAAGACTGTCTACTTTCCAAGTAATCACAAAAGTTGGCAAGCCCAGGCTGCCTTGCTTGCGCTGTCCTGTGGATACCCGCCGCGTGTGTGCGAGTCCCCACAGCATGCGATCGTGACAAACTTTGAGCCGAGCTCTGCCTGGCAGCGCCGGGCGGCTCGCGACGCCGAGCTCGTCCCATGCGTCCGACCTGCTCTTTCGCTGGCAGAGTCACGGTGAGACCCATGCTTGGTACACCCAGGCCTTGCAGGCTGCTTGCAGAACATGTTTCAAGAGTTCAAATATGTCTAAATACACAAAAGATCACGAAAGTATCGGCAAGTCCTGACACAACAAACAATTTAAACAGCCAAACAAAAGTCAACTTGTCTCAGTTGTGTCCATTCAAAACGATGGTATGAATCATCTGCATAGGGCATCACAGGGCACACTTGGAGACGAGATGAGACGAGACCCGAAGAAACGCACGACAGGAACTCTCTGCCTCTTGGCTCTGAACCCTTGGAAACCCCCGATTCGAGGCGAAAGGCTCAGCTGAGGCACAAGGGAATCTCAATGTGCGGCATATGTGCTGTCAGTCACCATTTCTACTGAAGGAAAAGAGATATTGTCAGAGCAATTCAGGCATGCAACTCCTCTTGACTCTTGATTTTCTAGCTCGTGTCAGGTCTAGCCTGCAGAGTAGATCTGGCCTTCAAGACCAGCTCGTGAACTGATTTTGAGATTTCAGCAAACTGCTGAAACGCCTCAGCAGCTTCAGGTCCCTCAGGCAAAAGGCGCTGAAGCGCCTGAAGCTTCTCTCTGTGAGATGCTTCTGCCGCCTGCAATACACTCTGAAGGGACTCTATATAAGCATCTAGAAAGTGATCAGCCACCATGCTGGAAGACAGCTCTATTCTCGAAAAGCTTTCGGGTGGTGCTTTGATCACCCCATAGCCGGCAGGGCATCTATAAAGGTGCACTATGAAGCCGGGAATGCTGAGCGGTTGGATTTCTTTACTCTGTGCCTCAAACTGTTTCAACTCCTCTCGAAACCTGGCAGATTGTTCCTTCCAATGAGATTCCAGTCGTGTCTCCAACAAGCCAAAGGCTTGATCACCAATGTCTAATATCCAACTCTGCTGTGGGTCTTCTCGAATCCATCCCACCATCTCCTTGGCACCGCTCAACCAGTTGTGGGAGAGAATTTCTTGGTAGAGTCGCAAAATAGACATGATCTGCAGGCGTGGGATGACATCATCATCGTGCACCACGCTGGTGATGTAGCCTGCAGCCTCCTTGGCCAAGGTTGGATCAACCGTGGCAGGTGGAGCGAAGCAAACACAGCGAGCACTTGGAACAAGCCCTGACTTCCGCAGCTGCACACAGCATGCCGCAGCCACAGCAGCTCCAAGCGAGTGACCAACAACGACCACTTCGTAGCCTTTCGCCTTGCAAACAAATCACTCAAGGAACAGCATCTGTATCGTAAGAGAATAACTAAAGACAAGAGGTTCTCCAGGGTTCTGGAATGCCTCTTGCCTGGCCTATGTGCGCGTTGTTCAAAAGCTCCGCTACATTTTGACATGAAGCAGGCCACTACAATCAAGTTACAAGAGCACACACACACACACTTTATACTAGTATCCTGGAACACTGGAACACGGTGTCTCTTTTGAATGTTTATGACATGTCATAACTATTCGTGAGCCCTGGATTGGGGAATGCTTCAGCACGATTCTTGGCCATTCCATCCTCCAAGAACTTCAAGGCAGGGCCATACTCTTGACAAAGCCACTGAGATGCCTCAGTGGCACCTCGATGAGCAAAGCCATCATGAAATACCTCCCCATCGCACAAACAGTCAGTGAGGCAGTCAGCAATGGTTTGGGTGCCCCGAATTGCGAGCACCACCTTGTTCCCTTGTATCGCAAGAAAATGTGCAGGGCGTTGCGGCCTGGCAGTGGAACTGCCAGTCAAGAACTTCCACTCCCCTTCGAGTTGTTGGCTCATGAAGTCCTGATGGGGATAAGGCAGGACATCCTTAAATTCTAAGGCCCAGGAGCACTTGCATACAGCAAGCATAAATATGCAGAGTTTTTTATCCTGGCTGAAAAGAAGGGCAGTCCTCGTCCGGAGCATAGGCAACATCTGCCAATCTGGCGTACTTCAATAAATCATTGAAGAGCAGGACATCGCCCTCCAAATCATGCAAGCCCGGAATGGTCGCAGAAGCTTGCTCCTTCTTCCACTGAAGCGTTCGAAGTTCCTGCTGCTCGAGGACTTTGAAGAAGACTGCTACTGGATCGATTGCACTTAGCTTCAGATGTCCAAAGTGTGAGGACAGCACCTGGTGAAGGCAACAAATGGAGGATGCAATGGACATATCAGCAAACTATGAGATAGCTCCCTTCGGCAACTAAAAGGGTGATCTTCGAAAACTTTGCAGTTTCTTCGGAAACTAGACGGCTTTAACGGTGTTCTTCGGAAGAACACTTTCCGCAGCATGCAAAATACTTCCTGAAGTGAGCGAAATGCTTTCTGCAGAATGCTATAGGCATGTGCCGTAGCCGTCACAGGGTATGTCAATAAGCCCACCCATCCCCCATGCTCCATTCATGCAATCTGGATGCATCTGAAGAGTACTTCCTGAAGCACGCAAACACTTTCTGAAGATCACAAAATAATTTCTGAAGATCGCGAAGTAGTTTCTGAAGATCGTGAAATAGCTTCTGAAGATCGTGAAGTAGTTTCTGAAGATCGTCAAATAGTTTCTGAAGAGTAGTTGCGGAAGAGTACCAAATAATTACTATATAGTTGCGGAAAAAAAAAGTCTCAAAAGAACTTGAGAAAAGGGATACACGAAAGGTAGGACAGCGGGAGGAAAAAAACATGTAAAGTATACAGTCTGGTGTTGGTGGAGTCAAATCAAACGTCAACTTGACAATGCGTTAAAAGACCAACATATATAGTTATATGATCATCCTCAACGACAAGAAGCACTGAAAACAACATGTCATGTCTCTTCATGGACTCAAACACTGCCCCAAGGTTAGAGTGCTCAACACCAAATAACCATCGAGGTGTCGAGGTGTTCCACTTCGGGATGAAGCGGTCAAGGGAGGTGTATTGAAAAATCAATTCCGCCGGGGGGGTATGTATTGAAAAATCAATTCCAAGGGGTGGGGGGGTTGAATTGAACTATCGATTATTAGACTCAAGGTATCCCCTGAAGGGCTACCTTTCGTGATGAAGAGTTGCAGAATAGAACTTTGTTCCGGTTTCCTAGTCATTTGATACATTGGATGTTGTTGGACAGCCTATCTAGAGGCGCCTGATTCACCTGCTGCAGCACAGCGCGTCCAGCTTCAAACTCTTGGGCGATGCCAGGGCCCTGTCGCTCCACCACGCGCTGCAAGAGAAATGTCACGTCCTCCTCACAGCGCCCCATGCGTCTGAAGTTGCCCACCATGACTCCCACAGCACCGGCAGTGCCCGCTGCCCCGGCAGCTGCCCCTGCTGCGCCCGCCCAAGACAGCGTGGAGTGGCGAGGCAAACGACGGAAAAGGTGGGAAAACATCTTCGTGATCCCTTTCTCCGCGACTTTGGCGGAGCAAGGTCAAAACATGTCAAACCTTCTGACAGACTCAAGAATCCTGCGGTTGATGGAGCATTCGATGTTCGCTCGCAACTTTTGACACGATAGCAACTGTACGGGTCAACATCCTTTCACCGTGCAACATGCATTCGTCAACCCAATCTTATTTTGGATCCGGGGACGCGCGTTTCTCAACCTTTTAACCCTCTGATGCATTCCTCTTTCATTATCATGCTCAATGGGATGGCGGAATGGACCGAGCCAGAGAATGTAGGGGGCCCTCTCACCTCTGCAGAACCACGAGCAAAGGAAAAAAAGCAAAAAGAAGAGGACAATTGACGCTATTAGCTCAGAGCATTGGCGTGCTCGGTGCCAGCAACATGGCCTCTGAAAGGCCACAAGCTGGGAGCCAAAGCTGCAAGGCGCCGCAAAACACCAAAAGCAGAGCCGCACCAAAGACTACCAAGACGCAATCAGAGCCCCGGCCCCTCAGCCCACCAGCAACAGCGCCCAGCTTGTGCATCTGATGATGCCAGGAGTACCGACACCAACGGAACTCATGAAACCCAACAGGATGCAACATGGCACATGCTCTTGAAAGAGCCGATAAATCAACATTCCTGCTTCCGTTCAAGGCCCTTTTCAATGATCTAAACACGACCACTGATGTACATTCCACGTTTGTCTTTCTTCCCTGCGATGATCTGGAGCCAGTCATCTAGGCGCGATACTTCTTGTATGGCAAGCCCTTCTCTCTGACTTTGTGTCAGCGAGAATTTAACAATGCAACGACTATACCCAGGAGCAGAAGCAACGACTACAGAGCAATGCAGACTGTTGAGGTTCTCTACCTTGCATCAGTTTGTGCGCCATCACCAGGGAGATTGTTCAGGCTGTTGCTTCTGCCAAGACAGCACACAGTCACTATCGCAACTGCCTGCCATCCTAATTCAGCTGGTCTTGGCCAAGAAGACCGAGACCAACTCAAAGTTGGCCATGAAAACACCGCCGCAACATCCAGGCTCTGAAACACATTCTGCACCACTTGGTACTCTTTCAAAAAGCAAAACACATGAAACTCCTTGCCAACTTGTGACAGAATTGAACTCGCACGCTGCGCAGGGAAGGTTGGTGAGTGCAAGGGCCCAAGGAAGGCACTCGCACGTGTGGTTCTCGGCACCACAGCTGTACATCGAAAAAGGACCTAGGTGCATCGTATCATCAAACCATGAATGTGTGTCTGTTTTCAGGACAAGGCGGCCACACCATGCAGGTTGCTGGTGATCTCTGCTAGGCGGCTGGCGAGCAAGGACAGCAGTCAGCCAAGTTCAAATCCTCCCAGGGTGTATGCTTTCGTGACGGAGGTCAAGAAAATCACAGTAAATGAAGCCAAAGTCATCTTTTCTGCTCAAAAATAGAATCACATATTCTTCCCCCAGCTTCTCCACGGTGACGCATAAGACTTCCCAAGACTACAGCTCCTTGTAGTTTTTCTTCTTGAGTGTTGCTTGTCTATTCAAAAGCAAACGGCCCAGCCTCGAACCTAGACATCAGGGCGACCTGGAGGGCAGTCCCTAGAAACATCACATCAGCTGGAGGAGATTGGAGCTAATGTGTGCCTTTGAACACATGGAGGTGAAGCGGAACAAGCCAATTGACACCAAACCTCTTGAGGGAAGCCAGCCGCATTGGCTGCGAGGATCCCTTTATGAGTGTTCCATTCACTTGGAACCGCTGGCAAGTAGTTGTTTTGGAAGGCTTGTAACCCTAACAACAAACCACCAAGGTCGCTAACCACAAATCCTCCCTGGTCAAGCCAAGGAGCTGGTCCTCGCTCCCTGGCGGCCGGTCCGGCGCCCTCAGTCCGTCTGGAAGGGTCGACTTGGCGAAGTGAGGGTCTTCGGTGAAAGCTGGGTGTCGAACAAAGCCGAGAGGCATGCAAAAAGGTTCTTCCTAGAGCCTGCGGCGTGGCGCAAAATCACATCATTCTGAAGAAACCCGAAGATTAAGGCTTTGTATGGTGTCGCCACTTCACGCCCACCTGCCCCCCTGTAGGTTTGGGCTTCAACCAATCAGTCAAGTCAAGATCGTCTCTCTGCGAACCTTGACCTGCACAGGCAAGCGCCGAGAGCGGATGCAAAAACAACCCGAGCACTTCGAGCAACACTTTCTTAATTGCAAATCAACAAATTCCCACCACGCATACTTGTCTGCAATGTAATGTAGTCTTCCGCACCCACAATGATGGGTATGTAGGCCGTGTATTGGACCTGCATGGGGTGACCTGAAATCAAAACCCACACAACAAAACAAACACTGGATATAGCTGCAAACTAGCTCTACCTTGCTGTCTTGGCTAGTTGTGGCTAGCTAAGTGGCTTGGAGTGTAGCCTGTCAGAAGGTGCTTTGATGCACTCATGGCTGGGTCACAAGCTTATGGCTGGAAGATGGCCTGCTGACAGCTGTGAAACAACCAATGTGCTTCATGTGCTTCGACACAAAGCTGATTGGGCAAAAAAAACGCAGTGGCGGCTTCTGGCGCCAAACTATGCAAAAAACAACTCTAACTCGAGCTATCCCCAGCTCACTGCTGGGTCGGGGCACTGGTGGGAGCACTGGTCGGACCAGTGAATTGGACTGGTAGGGACGGTAGGTCATGCCTTCTACCAGCAAGGTCAAGGCTTAGTCTTCAAAATTAGTTATGTGGTGAAAAACAGAAAGCAATGCGTCTTGTGGTATCTATATACCAGCACAAGGTGTTGAGAACGGTTACTGCTAGCACACCTGCAACATCTGGTTCATGATCGATAATAGTGGCTGATCTAATGGTTACTGGCGGTATATGATGGTTTTAGTGGCTAATCCAATGGTTAAGAGTGGCTGATCAACGGTCAATAGTGGCCAACAATGAAAAATCACGCAAAGTCGCGGTTAATCATGGGTAATACTGGGTAGTAGTGGTTGATGATGGTTAGTAGGTGATTTCAGTCAGCAGTGACTAATGATTGTTTGACGTGGCCCAAAAACTGGATGATTATGATTAATCAATCAATGATGGTTGATGATGGTCAATGACAACCATCAGTCGAGATGGCCATCACCGATGCATTTTCACAAAGCCATCGAAGTTGGACGATCTTGTTGCACAGCAACCGAGATCGGATCATTGCTCTTCTAAGCCGCGCCCGCTCTTCCAAGCACTCACTCTTCGGGACACCTACCTCATCAACTGCAGTCGTCTGGCCCGCGGCATCCACCGAATTGATCATGCCGTAGCTTTCAGCAAAGCCATTGAGGTCGGGAAAGTGGTTGCGCCGCTTAGGCCACTTATTGTGGCATTCCAAGCCATTTTCTTGGCTTTCCACCTGAATAGTGTAGCCTTCCACTTCCCTGTCGTAGCGTACTTGCAAAGCTTCTCCTTGCAACTTTCCATGAACTCTTTCCTTTTTCTTCTTCAACGAATTGTGGAGACAACTTTCTGCAGTTCGCGGTGCCATGCAACTTGGATTCTCCGCTCCCCCTTCAATTGCGCAGAAGTATTCCTGCTTGAACCCATTGACGCGATGACGGCTTCGCCAGTCATGCACCATCTGCAGTTGTACGTATTCCTTGGCCGGCGGGTAGAACATGAAGTAGTTGTGACAGTCACCGTATGAAACATTGGCCACGACATACGTGTATGCTTTTCCTTTGGTGTACCTGAATTGCACGTACTCCATGCCGAATTTGGGCAACACATCACGGCTCGTCCAGGACTTGAACTTCACCGTCTTCTCCTGGCGCTTGGAACAGTCACCGTAGGAGGAACCGACGGGTAGATTCGATCGACGGAACGTCTCCTTCAACGCTGGAGTGGCGGAAAGCGCTGGCCACGGAAAAGCTGAGCCACAAAGCCGGATGGCAAAGGACTGCAAAAGGACTCATGACGGGCTGTGAAGTCTGTCAAGGCAAATGAGCAGAATACTGAGCTTCTGAGCGTCGAGCGCTTGAACCAGTGTGGCTGAAAAATCTTCTTGAATGTGATGACATCAAGCTGAGACAAATGGCATGTGTCTGGAACTGATCAACAGCTGAGGCGTGCTGATCCAGGCCATGTGGAGGGCGACGCTAAGCCATCAATGAACCATGCTTTGGGCAGCAAAGACATTGGATCTGAAATTTGAAGATAGCAAGAATATGGCCACCCAGTTGCTTGTCTTTGAAATAGCCTAGAACAAATCAGCCAGGCCCTGCCTTTGGCCGCAGATCCCGCCTCAGGCGGCCCTGCCATAGGCCTTGGCAGACTACAATCGTTATGGGGACAATTCACTGACACCGTTTTTCACATGGATCTGTATGAGGTTGCCGACACTGGCTGCATGGATGCAATGAAAAATGTGCCGACATGTCCTTGTGTCATAACTGTTGCACGCAAGCACAAAGCATCTTGTTCACATCAACGGCTTGGTTCGCAACTAAAGATTACACCGGCAGGTTGCTGCGACTTCTCTTTATGTTTTAAAGCTGAGACTGGTACAGCACTCTTCCTGCCCTCTGTATCAATCCAGCTGGCAACAACTCTGCCATACCTCTCAAACCCGCAAAAAGCTTGTCTCCGGCACAAACCGAGACTTGTTTGGGACCGCTCGCGCTGGCACCGCGCTCGCACTCGCACGCTCGGAAACTCGCTCCTTGAAACTTTGAGGGACGGCAGTTCTGCGGAAAGCAACTCCCGGGCTTTCGCCAGGTCAGGGCCATCAAGGGCCTCACGCTCCGCGGGGCACGGTGAAGTAAGGCGTGGGGCACGCGCTCCATCACGCGCTCCACGCGCATCAGCCACACGAGACACATCGAGACACTCCAGACTTCATGCTGAGAAAGAAAGGTTGTGTTTGGGCCCCTTTCAAGAGAGGTTCCTATTTTTTTTGTAAAATATGAAGGGTCCTTATTTAAGGAACCATTTATGTCTCTTCTTGTTTTTAAACGTAGGACCCCCTATGACTGGCCTGGAGAATGGTCCGAACTGCTGCATGACCGTGGCGAGCGTGCGCCTCAGTTCCGCCATGCCATTGGCGCTTTTGGGGGAAGGTTGCAGGTCGTCATGGGGGACGCTAAGAAGCAAACCATGAACGTCAGCAGTCCCTGTTCCTGTCAGTGATCACCACTCACTCCCAAATCTTGAAAGCCCCAAAAGAATATCAATTCATCGGAGTCCTGAACGCGATGCCAGGAGCCCCTAGTAGCGTCCTTGTTCCTAGTAGTAAGGCCAGGAGCCCCTAGTCGACCTTGTCTCTAGTAGTAAGGCCAGGAGCCCCTAGTAGCGTCCTTGTTCCTAATAGCTCCAAAGAATATGAATTCATCGGAGTCCTGAACTATAGCTCTGGCCAAAGAAATCGCATCCTCTTTACAAAGCTTGGACCTCAGCGATTGCGATCGTTGATTGGTGTGGTACAGGGGTTGGAACAATACAAAGAAAAGTTAGCCTAACAGCCTGATCTGTCTTGGGCGACCAGGCAAGGCAGCTGCCACCACTGCACTGCCGAAGGAGTCCTGGCAAATGGCTACGATCTCCTGCCTGAGCTCCTGCCAGTTGCCGCCATTTGTGTCAGAATCCTTTCGCTTGCCGTACGGCTACTAGAAACAGCGCAAAAACAACAATTTGAACAGAGCGCAGATTCTTTGAGGAAGCTTCTCCCTGAGGATGGAAGAAATTTGTTTGAAAATCCCGCACTCTTTGCTCGGCCTGTCCTCAGCTAACCTGTGTCGGTGGGCTGGAGTTCCATGTTCCAGCAAATTCTGCAAGACCTCAAGTTTGGACAAAACACAAACGAGGCACCTGGCTGAACCAACTGAAAAACGGTGTGAACGGATTCAACCGCTTCAACCGAGGTGTGTCGTCACAGAATCCGTGGCCAAGCCGCATAATTGCCATATGGATGGCGCGCGATGCCACTGACGTCTGACAAAATAGCGGCAGCAATGCGCTCTACCTCCGCGGTGTGCCGCTTGTTTTGCAAAAGACTCAACACTTCAAAGAAACATACAATGAAATGAGAGATTGTGATTGTCAAGCGACAAACATCGACCATTAAGAGGCACCTGGAGTGGGCAACGCTCAAGAAGCCTCCCGGAGCTCTGCGGTTAGTCAACGTTTCGACTACTTCACAGCTCCTCAAAAAACCACTTAACTCGGCTGTTTGACTGGGCTCCACCGGCCTCTGTATGATCCGGCAGCCATACTTATGGCGTGCTGCCTTGGTCTTCAAAGATTTTTCAGATTTAGCCATCAGCACACCATTCTGAATTCTGGGGGTCCTACGAGTTCCACAAAACCGTTGCAAGCCATGATCTCGTCGACAATGAACTGGCAATCTTGAGGCCTCAAACTTCAAACAGTGGCATGCTCCAATGCACAAAGAAAACGCATTGACGCTGTTATTGCTCGAACAAACACAACATCCATAAAACTACAATCTGGTATGGCTATGAAAATAACAGTTGCCTTGAATTTTCACCATCCAAACCCTGACATACGTCGAAGCTTCGACCTCAGGCCTGGAGCAAGTAATGCACTTCTGCAAGACGTGGTTCGCATGTGGGCATCGCATGGCATCCAGCACATGGCCAGCGATTTCTGCAAGCAAGCCTCTGCGTACATCATCTGAAGCTTCTTCAATCGCAAGTTGCACTTCCCGACATCCTTTGGAATCCTGGGAAAGTTCCCACACGCGACCAGCCAGGGAGATTTCCCTGCAGCAGTGAGGATCATTCTGCTCCGGGCGTGAGCCCAATAACCTAGGTAGTTCTTCTTTGGGCTGCGCTGCTCGCTCGGCTCGCACAATGGCCGGACTCATGTAAGATGCCCAAGGAGGATCTTCATTGGCATCGATCCTCTCGATCAAAGCCCGCAATGGAAATGCCAAAGCTCTTGGCTTGGCTTTTTGTGATCTCCGGGAACGCATGTTCGACATCTCACCGACAGCTGAGAGCCCAGAAGCTGCAAAACAAACTCTAAAGCGCTTGGAAGAATGAGACCAAGTTTGTTGGAACCAATACACATTTAAGCTCATTGACTTTGAAGCAATTCTGCGAGACCCATGGGCTCTCGCTCCTGGTACAAGCACCATTTTGACTGGTCTGGTCGAATGCAGAAATGTGCTTTCACTTGAGGAATGGAACCTTGCCCTGCATCGGCAAAATTCACCAGAATCGAGTAGGAACGGTGCCCCACATGCTGTTGGAAGCACAAATCCCTTTGCCATTTCGGCGAGGCAACTTGAAAGTGATGTAACTGACTTGAAGGCAGAGGAGGCGGCAAGAAGCAACTGTCCGCGAGGAGGGGAAGGAGACTAAGTGACTAAGCTGGTTGTCGAAAAGAACACTTGCACTACAAACCATTACAAACCGCTCGTCGCTCATCATGAAAAAACAAATTGCAGTCGCAGCAGCGACTGCAATTGTCTCTTGAGCTTCTGCACTGGCTCGCCTCTCTGCATGAGTTAATTCAACTGCAAGAGTATGGACAATGAACTGCCCTGGTGGCACTGAGGATAAGCAAAGCAGCCCAATGCCGCTGACAATGGCAAGTTCTAACAACAAACTCACCAGCCAGAACACCCGCTTTCATTCACGGTCAAGTGGATGTTCTAACTTGGCCTCAGACCACCACTGTGGGCGCAAAAAGCGAAGCTTCGTTGGCTTCGCTCGGATCAGATCTCCTGACCGGCGTTTCGAATCGATCTCCGTCATAGCAAAAGGAACCTAATAAGCTGAAACGATTCCCAAGGAAGCTCCCAGTTACTAGAAAGATCTAGAAAGCTTTATTGTGACTAGTAGCGATGGCCTCCAACCTAGTAGCAATGGCCTCCCCCTAGCGTCCTTTTGGTCCAAGGTCCTAAAAGTTCTATGGGTCCACAAAGTCCAGTGTGTTCTAAAGCGAACGATCAAGGAATGGCGAAGCATGGCGAAGCTCTTGCTAGTTCTGCCGACATCGACGAGGCGTGCTCACAAAGTGTCGCACTCTAATTGGCTTGTCGCCAAGCTTTGAGACAAAGGTTCAAAGACACATGTGCACAAAAGTACACTGGGTCAGCTGGGCCTAGTCCCCCAGAGCCTGCATTCATAAACTTGTAAATCAGCTTGGACACTGGAACTCAAGCGGGCCTGCCTGATTCCTGAGTCCTGCGGAACTATGCATTCAGCCTGCCACGCTCGCTGCTCTGAGTTGTCATTGCTGAATTTCTCAAGACAAAAAGTGTAACGAAAAGTGTTTCATGTTTTTTGGGGGAAGGTGTTTGTGACGCCTATTGAGCTGGTTTCTGTGTTTCACTGCTAAAGCTAATGCTGCCACAGTACGAAGCACTTGACGAACTGTTTCACAGTACGCAGCATAATCCTCCTCCTCGGCTGCGTTCAAAATCAAGTGACTTTTGAGTATCGGAGATTTCCTGTCATCGAGCGGAATCCTCAGATTGTGGCTGAAATTGCCAACTTCCATCCCAGAAGAGAGATAAAATGAGCCTCGACAAAGAAGTCAAACCTCCTAGTGCTAGTCTCCTTTTGATAAAGCATCGTGCTCTGATTCACAATGGCCCAATGGCCAATGGCCTAGGACCGCGGTTTTCGTTTGTGCCGACCTCCAGCTTATTCAGCTCCTTCAGCGATAGTCCACACACCGCAGCATAAAATGCCTGCGGTGCCCATGCCGCAGCATAACATTTCACCATTCTGAAGTGGAAGTTTCCAAGGTGCAAACGTTCTTGTAGTAGATGTCATCCAAGAACTTCACTGCGACCACCTCAAACCAGCTGAAAAGCAAGATGTAGCTGTGTCACACGTTGCATGTCCTTCCGACATAGCTCGAGTCCAAGGAACCGTGGCAGCCGCAAGCAAACGATGGATCGTCAATGGATTCAAGTCGATCGCATTCTTGCTGACCTTACCCCGTGATGGTGTGATACTCTCCCCAAAACGGGGAAATTGACATCTCAATGCTAGGCATGGGGCAAGGCGATCCAAATAAACCAACGCAGCCACATGAACCGACTCACCTGGGAAACAGGAAACAGCAGGATCACAGCTTCGAACACGCCGCGGAAGATGTCTACGCTGGGAGCTGGGAACATGTCCATGTCCAAGGATATGTTTGCTTGATAAATTGCGATAGTCCCAGAGAGCTGTTGATACACAATCCAAGAATAGTATTCTTCAGTAGAACAAAAGAACTTGTCATGCATGGTGGCCGAAGTGATATGTGTATGCATCTGTATATATATATATATATGTACATATGTACATATTATATATATATTCACCCCTACGCCCCTACGCTAAGAAAGAAAGGGAAGCGCATGTCTTGTGCTTTTACCCCAAAAGGCCATATTCTATTCAAATTCATCCTTGCCAAAAAGACGACAAAAGCTTATGACGTATGACTTATGACAGCTTGGGGCTCCGGCTGCAGGCAAAGAACTTGTCAATGCGCTTCAGGTAATCGAGGACCGAGATCGATGGCTGGACCTGAAACATGTCACGTCACACGTCTGAAAATCCGACGTATGCGCGTCGTGAGGAGCGCAAAAGAGCCAAAAGAGCTCCCAGAGCTGAGTCCAAATGAGCCAAGACCCCTTTTTGATCCTTGACGCTACTAGGAGCAAGAACGCTACTAGGGGCTCCTGGCATCGCTACTAGGAGCAAGAACGCTACTAGGGCTTGATCCTTCATATGTCTTCAGCGTGTGACCAGCACCCCAGCAGGCCCTGCTAGTAGCACGTGTGCGTGGCCTGGGAGGTGAAGCGAGTCACCCTCACCTGTGCAGTGCCCGGTGGCGAAATGCACTCTGGACATGTCGAAACGCGGTCCTCACCTGGCCAGGGGCCACGTTCATCAAAGCCATGTAGATGTCCGCCATAGCGGTGTGGAGGCCTGAGCTCTGACTGTGAACCCAAATTGGAACACCAAAGAGACAAACTTGAGCTGTCCACGCAAGCTGTCCTGTTTCTTCTTGGCCTGGACAACCTGGTGATGGCACAATGTGAGGCACGAGACGAAGCGACGATTAAGCGACGTGCTGCCATTGTGGCTACACACGGTTTCAGGCTCTGGCATCGGGCTGATTCACCATCACCCACCCGGCCCACTCATCCTTGTACCTGACAACATCCAGGATTTGCTCCAAACTGCTGCAAAACCTGTTCGGAACATCCATCGTGCATGTCAATGACCATCTCATCCGTTTAGACCATACCCGACCGTATGATGTGTTTGGTCTGGTTTGAAACGCACAGCGGGGCACCCGTGCCCGTGGGTGCCATGGGTGAAATAATCGTAGCTGAAACGCTGGCCTCCCAAAAGTCCCAATGCTCGGAAAGGGCATCGCTACTAGGAACAAGGGCATCGCTACTAGGGGCTCCTGGCCGTACTACTAGGAGCAAGGATGCTACATAAATTGATTTAAAAATGGAATTAGAATTGAATTCAATTAAATTGATCCAGCAAAAAAGCAATACTCACTCTAAGACGGCGGCTCACCACGCCCACCATGCCTGTGCCGCATCGGAGCTGCGGCGTCCCGATGGTTCCACCCAGCAGGCGTCCGATCCCGTCACGGTTAAACTAAGTTTAAATTAAAATAAAAGCTTCTTGTTACTACTAGTAAGGCACCTGTTACTACTAGCGTGGCACTTGTTACTACTAGCGTGGCACCTGTTACTACTAGCTTCTTGTTCCCACGAGCGCGGCCTTCCAGGTGTTTTTCGTCAGGACAAGGTCGTCTACGATTCTCCCGTCACGACCAGCTTGCTAAGCCAAAATGACACCGTGGTAGGTCGGAAAAGGAATCAGTCAATCAGTGCCGCTGGTCGTTTTCAGATCAATCTTCTTGAATCGTCTTTGCTTCTTCTCTCTGTTCGAACCTCTAGATCGGCCCTCTTTTCACTTAAGTTCAGCAAGGCAGGTCCAACATGAGCCTTGCCAAAGTACAACTGCTGAACATTCACCCTGCCGGCTTTGCCAGAGTTGACTACGTTCAATCGAGAATTTTGAAGCAATCAGACTCACCACAAAATGTGGTCTTCCTAGTAGGGAGGTTCTGGCTCAAGAGAAAGGTAGTGTGGAGGCCGTTGAAATAATATGGCCATCCATGACACCTCTCATCACTCCAAGAACCTCCTGTACTGAGCTGTACTCGTTCAATCTTCTTCCTTCTTCTCTGCCTCTTAGGAGGGTGAAGGGTCTTAGACTCTTAGGGTGTCGCTGGCTCGCCACTCAGGCTACCACCAGACATGCTGAAAATGTGGCAATAGAAGGGGAAGCTGGCATAGACCAGGGCAATGAAAATGGTGAAAATGTAGCCCATGTGGATGGCCCTGCCATGGTACTTCTTAGGGATTTCCAAGGCTGGTGCGGGGACGACCTTCTGCCAACCTAGGCACATGTGTGTGCTGAAGATGATGACTGCAGCCAAATAGAAGAGCACCCAGCCCAATGACTGGAAGACTTCGAACTCCATTCGGTAGATGTCGCGCACGGCAACTTCCTTGCAGCCGGGATCGTCCACCCAGAAAAGGTTCAAACGCAAGGCCAGGAGTGTCTTCAAGTTCAGCAGGTATGGTGGAGGGCACAGCACATACGGATGGGTATCGCCAAAACGGAACCTTGGTCAGGGCAAGAAAGAATCAATTGGATGGAACACTGGCATCTTGACCTTTCTGAGTTTGCATCTTTAAATGTGTTCGTACTAGTTGCAAAAAAATAAAAGTCAAAACACGCGCAAAACGTCAAAACGTGCAAAAGCTCAAACATCTGCGAAGGAACTGGTACAAGTGGATCATCATGAAGGTTAGCAAAGTAACACCTGAGAACGCGAGGTTCAGTTTGCCAGAAGCCACAGAGTAGTTCATGCTGATGTCCCACGTTCTTTTCAGCGCAACTACGACGTGCAGCAACGCGGCCAAGAGGATGTACTCCTCCACAATGTTGGCCTTCATACCGAAACCGGTCCAGTACAGCCGGACGTAGAAGTAGCCGTAGCCGTTGAAGTCATCCGGTCCGAGGAAGACGTGCAAGTTTCCAACTGCGTGGATAATGATGAAAACAAAGAGGAACATGGCTGAGCGGGTGAGTCCAACACGATCACCGTTGAAGACCACGTTCTTCTGAGGGACAATGGTGAAAAGAACCTCCTTCAAGAATCCCAAGACCATGTACAGAATGGCGCCAATCCAGCCCCCAATCTTGCCCTCTCCCTTCATTCGCAATTCGCGGTTCTTCTCAGACTTGGACCAGTCCTTTCCCTGAGCCGAGCTGCAAAACT